TGTGTGTGTGGGGGGTGTGTGGGGTGTCTTTCCTCTTCCATGCGCTTCTGGCTCCCTAGGGCCGGGGAGGGGCCGCTTCGCTCCGGGGAGTGTGTGGTGCTTGAGGGTGTGCAGTGGGAGGGCTGGGCCCTGAGGGGGGGGCTGTGGTGATGTGGAGTCCTCTGGCAGGGGGTGATTGAGTGGGGTGTTTGAAGGCAAAGAGGGTTTGGGGTCGTGGGGAAGAGATGTGGGTGGTGTGTGTGTTGGGGTGTGGATGTAGGATTTGAGGGCTCTTTGGAGTACTTGAGGGGTGTAGTGGGAGAAAGACTTAGGTTGGGCTGGGGGTGAGGTGAGGTGAGCTGGGATAACGTGAGGGCTTGGGATCTGAGAGATTTGGAGCTCACTGTGGGACCCATGAAGGATTGGGACTTTGCTGTACATCAGGGTGGGAGTCATATTTGGGAGTGTCTGGGTGCTTGAGAGGTGTATGGGGAGACTCATTATTACAAAGTGGTGTCCTGATGAGGGGGGTTGCTTTCAAGGTGTCTGGGTTTATTGAAGAGTATGGGAAAGGGGTGCTTGTGTGGGGTTTGGGACTCTTAATTGGAGGAGAAGAGGGGTGGATAGAGTTCAGGTATGTATAGTGCCATGAGTGGAACAGGATGGACATGGGAAGGGTCCTTAGTTATGTGGCTGGTGAAAGTACAGAGATGAACTGGTGAGCTTTAGGGGGCTTCAGGGTACCAGTTGGTGACGGTGGGTGCATATTCAGGAGCAGATAAGGTGGCTGATGTTTTTGAGAGATTAAGGTAGGGGGAAGCTTCAGAACCTCACAGAGTTGTTGTGGTATGTTTTGGGTGAGAGTTAGGACTGTCCACTGAGGTAGTGTGGTTGATGGGGGAGCTGGATGTTGGGATTTGAGTTTTGTGTAACATGCGTTATTTATGGTAATTCATAGGAGAGTATGTGCAGACAAGAGACTTATGATGGAGAGGGTTTTCTACATGCTTTAGCTTCTCTTTGGGGATAAGAATCAAGCCTGTGGGGTTTATAGGAGCCTATAAGCTCCTGATATCCACAAATCCTGTTTTAAAAGCTGAGGTAGAGTGCTTTCAACTTGGTTTTATTCATTGCTAAATCTGGAGAGTGGCTTTTGCTGTACTGTAGGTATCTGTAGCTTGGTGAGCACTGTTGTGAGCATTGAGGGAGAGCAGTTTGGAAGTAGCAGATGAATACCATTACTGCAATATTAGAAGATGAGAAATCTAACAGCATTTCAGCTTTGTTATTTTATATATGTGAGAATAGGAAAAAAGTCCACCTTGTGATCCTGCAGAGAAGTGAACCATGTCTCAATTCTTTTTCTCTTCTCATTGGTTGAAACTGAAACCAGCACTTGAGCTGCAGCACTTTTAAATGTATTGTGTTTGATTGAGTCAAGCTGAATTTCTTTCGCATTCTGGCATCCCACCTGTAGCTGCTTGTGACTACCTCTGACACTTACCTGCCTGAGGAACGACGCATTAGGTCCAGTATGATCGTGTGTCAAGCTATCCCATGTCCAGAAAACTTCAGAGTGCTTCAGGAGCCTCCGAGCTATCTGCTAAAGCTTTAAGCTCTCCTTCCATTAGGAAGAGCAGAACTTGACAAAATAGTTGTATGTTATTGGGTTCGAAACTGGCCTAGGAAAAAGGGAGATGTGACTGAGCAGGGACAGAAGACAAATGCTTGAGAGAGATCCCAATAACAAGACATAACCTGTTAGTGTTACACCATTCTTAGAAGGAAACTTTGTTCGTTTGATGGTGAGATAAATTAATTTCTTAAAAAACAGTATTTTTTTCAGTAATTCCCCTCATGAACTATGTACTGGTTTTCATTTGCTTTCGTAGCCTTTTGATTAGATTGTTTTCTAAGTACAGACAATAAAGTAGCAGTCTGAGAAGAGTGGCACTTGTGAATTGATTCTAATCGTCTTATGTGGAGGAGCTTGTGTAACAGTGTAGTAAAGTGTAAGAGTTCTGATTAAGGCTGCCTTAGTAATCCCCGTGTAGTCACTGGAGACAGTTGGCTGCTACCTGGGAAGTGAGGCATGGAGTAACTGTGCTTCAAATGCCTGCTGTGGGAATACCCTGAAGAGTCTTGTTTGCTCTAAGACTGCTAAATATGTATTATTTATGGGAGTCTTGCACTGAACATTTTTCTTCTGAAGTGCTGTTAGATCTACAGGTACTTCAAAAAGTAAAAATAGCTTTATTCAGTCATAAATTAAACTCCTTCTTCTGAAACAATTGCTTAAAAAATTTCCCAAGACTTTGCCTGTTTTGTGCAGTAAAATAGGCGGCCTGACATGATGATATTAATTCTGAGTACAGCAAGATTTGATATCTGCTTAATCAAAGACGCAAGTATGTTGGCAAAGTTCAGGACTGAGTTCAAAGGCCTGCCACGTAAAGTCAGTTGCAGATACTTTGGGCTGCTAATCATACTGCAACTAGAAAGAGGCCTGAGGAGGGAAGGGTTGGTCAACCCGAAAGAGTAAGATCATAGATTCACTTGGTTATGTGGATGCCTTGGTCAGTCCAGTAATTTTTGATAGTATGTGTTTGCTTGCAGGTGACATGGCAAAATTGGCTTGCAAGTCATTAAGCTCTTAAGGGAAGTGACTTTAGAAACTGTTATTTGCCATGGGCACAAAACACCTTCTAATTTGCAAGTAGAAAGAGTCTTGTGAAAAAGGAAAAGCAAAGCCCAAAATATCATTGAGATGTGGTGCCAGAGAGGGTGGGCTGGGAGAATGTGGGAAAGGGGGGGAGAGGGCTGGATGAGTCTGAGTGACCGGTGCTTGGTGAGAAGATTTACACAGAAAACAGGTGAACTAGTTGCATGAATTTATTTTTAGTCTTTGCCCTTTTCTGTGGTGTGATGTTGGCTCTCACCTTTGTTGGCTGAGCCTGTGGCTATACTTCAAACAAACCCCTGAATTACAAAAAACTAGTGGTTTGGTTGTTTGGGTTTCTTTGTTTTGTTTGGTTTGGTTTTTTTTTTTTTGTTTGTTTGTTTTTGGTTTTTTTTTTGTTTGCTTTTTTAACTCCTCAGAAATCCTTACAGTTATTATTCTTGAATCTCACACGTCTTTGCTCTGTTGGAGAGTAGGGTGTTACCTATACCGACGTTCCTTCAGGCTATATAAATGAGAGGTCTGTAGGAAAAAGAACCAGTGAACACATTTCCAGTTTTTTTGCCCCAAGGTTGTATTCACCAGCTCTCTGTTAAGATTTGAGTCGGTGCATCAGCATTTCTCTCTGTTGGGGATGCACCTTTCTTCTATACACATTTACTTATTTTCACCAAAACAAAGGGCACATGAGATGCTGATCCCACTCACACTTAACAGCTCTGTTTAAGCTTCATTCCCTTAGGCAGCAAACCCAAAAATTCACAGGCAGGTAGATTTATAAAATTAATCATAGATTTAAAATTATCATAGGTTTAAAAAAAATAGATCAAGCTTTTTGGCTGAATACAGCAGTGATAGTGTGACCCTGCATTACAGCAGGTGTGTTCTCCAAGAAAGGAGCATTGACTCCTTTCTCCAGTGAAGTCTGGCATTTAATTTGGAAGTCTGCCTGATGGTGACTGATACCAGATCTTTCACAGAAGAACAAAGCATTCTTCTGTGGGCAGCTGATATTTAGTGAAAGCTTTATTCCCTGAAGCATGAAGGTTTGTATGTCTTGGAAGGTTGTTTACCTTGATGTGTGCAGTTGATTAACTACAGGTGGTGGTATCCCTAGTGATGAATATATATTTGTATTCTTAAACTCTTGCTGTTAGTGGCATAGTGAGTTGAATAATTTCATACGTTGGATACATTTCTTTAAAATGTCTTTAGTTTCAAAGTTGGGTGCCTTTCGATTTTCCTGGTCATCTTCAGCCTGTTTCTGAAAGGTAAATGAGAGTGTTCAGTGTGTTGCCTCTGCGGTGGTTCATCAACTGGGGTATTTTGGAGTTGCAGTTCATCAGTGCTACCAACCATTGACCAATCAGTGCTGTTTCGAGCAGAAATGAAACTCTCTTAGTGCTGTGTGTTACGAGACAGTAGAGCAGCTCTACAAGACAGAGTAGTTTATGAAGTCCTGAGCTAGAAGAGGCTTTGATTTCTTACCTTCTTGGAAAGGAAAAACACTTGATGATGAGACACGTTTCAAAGAAACTTTGAGCATCTTAATGAATTGTTTGATACCAGGCTGTCAAAAGCAGCCATTCCCACTATCAAAAGTTTGAGTTCACTTTCACTTCCACCCCCCAAGCCCCCCACCCCCCATGCTTCATTTATGGAGTTTGCCTGAGTTAGAGTTGCTCTTTTTATAAGATGCTAGGATAACTAAGAAACAGTGAGTGGGGCATCAGAAATATTTTGCATATCATTTCATAGTGTCTCTGAATGCACCTAGGAATTGATATATTGGATAAGAAGATTAGTTGTCTGTTTTCCTATAGGCGAAATACTTTCTAGGACATGTTTACCCGCTGCATGGGAGAGTTTACATTGTAAATATGTATAGACATATAGGTCATTAGTTCATTTTCTGAAATTGTTCATTATGGTTGTCTTTCAGAGATTACGTGAGCTGCTGCTTCAGCCTTCTAACATCTTGCACTGGACACTCATGGTATGTCTGAAGGACAGATCTCATGTGTTCTGAATGTACCAGGTAAATCCCAGTAATAACTTTGCATGGGACATTGTGATCCGCTAAGAATAAGAAGTCAAGAGAGGGCCACTTTTATTCTATATTTAGTTCTAATTGATTCTGTAAAAAGAGCCTCGCAGGCTGTAGCCTGAAATTTATTTTTATATCTGTGTTATATTAGAAAATCAGATAACTGCTACGCTAATGCAACTATTTGCAACACTAGTGAAGATGCTGTGTTGGAGGGAGTTAGCCAGTTTCTGTAAATACCTTTGAAAACTTTACTCAGCGTTTCTGCTGCTTGAGGTAAAGCAGAAGGAGGGAAAATAGTGATATTTTTCAGGTAGGTAGTTCCTCCATCAAATCTCCTGCCTCACCTTTTTGTCTGAGAGGCAAAAAATGGATGCAGCTGTGACCTTTGAGAGCAATGGGATTGCCTTTTGATTGCAGTGGTGTTACAAGAGGTACTGTTCAGTAGCAGTGGTGAATAAATACTTACCTTGACATATTTCTGGCTAGCATACTGGATTGTAAGTAACTAATATCAAATCTGTTAACCTAATTCAATATTTCATTTTCAGGTTGTCCTCATGAGTACTCCTGTGGAGAATGTCCATGATCTTTTTTGCCTGTGTGGTGCGGGTGAGGGATGGACTTCCCCTCTCAGCCTCCACAGATTTTCATTTCAACCAGGACTTTCTGGAATGCAGAAAGAGATTGAAGGTGTTATCCTCAATTCTGGCGCAGTATCCAAGTCGAGGCACAGCAAAAGGACGTGACTTGAGCATACAGTAAGTTGCTGCTTTTGTTTGGTTGATTATTTTATTTTATTTTATTTTACTTTAAGTTTTTAAATCGTTTGGCTTAGGATGAGTTAAACTTTAGGTGTATTCTATAGTACCTGGCTCCAGTTTGTAATTCTACCACTCATGTCGAGATTGTAACCTCCAAGTATTTTGAAACCTCATTTCTCAGCACCAAAGCCACACAGCTCCTACTCAGTTTAGTAAGCATATGTTAAGAATTGCTTATTTTAGTTTTCATTTTTGTACCAAATGCTTTCTGCTCAATGGGCAGTACTTGTTACTATTAGCAACTGGAATATCGTGGACTTCTACAAACACCTTCTGAGACAGCATCCTAGTGCCTAGGAATTAATTAGTTTAGTCTAAACCCCAAATCCTTTTCACCTAATTCTGGCTTGCACAGAACTGCCATGACTCTCTCCTGCATACTGCCCACTCTGTTTTCCAAACCAAAAAAGATTCGAGTCTAGAGCTCTGGCTGATGGATAGGTCTTGAGGAGGCCTGAAGCATGCTGACAATAGCCAGTGTGGACAAATTATAAATCTTTGGTTTTATTGAGAAGGATCTGTTAGTCTTTTTATTTTAAGAAATTAAAAATTAAAATTGAGTTTTAGCTTGTGATTGCTTGTCTGGTTAGCAAACATAAGAAAACTTAAAGTAACACTGAGCTAAAATTAATTACCCTTTTTGGTGGAGCAGTTGGAGAAAGTAGACATGTGAACTTACACTGAATCAGTTGGAAAAGCAGAGATTAGCATTTTAATTCTGTTTCTCTCAAAGTGAACTTGTGCCCTTTAATGCTAATGTGTTCTGCTTTTAATCTCTATAGTTGCTACAGAAGTAGCTATGCATTGGGCTTGGAAATGGTAAGAGTGCATACAGATACATGGGAAAAAGGTTATAAATTATTGAGAGCTTGGAAAAGGTAATTTTATACAGGTGTAATGTTGATCCTCAATTGTGAGCTGGAGACAAGGAGTTCAGGGAACCTACCCAGTGTAACTAGGCTGTCACATGGCTAACCAAAACCGTAAATCCCAAGTACATGGTATAATAAATAAATAAAAATGTGGTAAAATAGAAGTGACAAGTATTTCTGTATGAGAGGGATGGTATATATACATAGAAAAGAGAGAAAATACAGAGAATAATTGTTCAGCTTCAAAACTTTGATTTTATACTGATCTATTGCTAACAAATGGCTAATGTGTAAGAAAAGATTTCCTCAGTCTTCTTTCAGAGGTGCTTACAAATCTGTAATTATGGTGGGGATTGTGGAAGGTTAGCTATCTGTGTGTAGTGCTGACATCTGAACTAGGTGCCCTGGCTGCCATCTTGTTTAAAGGAGTCTAGATGAGAGTGATTTCTCTCATCCTTAAATACACACCTACATTTTGGTGAGATGAATACCCTGTTTGGGCCATGTTTAAGTGAAAACTTCTGCATAAATGTGGCTTCAGTGTTAGAGAGACCCCTTTTGGAGTGGAATTTTTATTGTGTTGTTTCTAGTACAAACTTATCTTCATTTATTACAAATGACTTCGCAGTAACAGTGTTTGAATATCTTGATTTGTGCAAGTTAACAAATATCTCTTGCTGTTAAGATGAAGTTGTCATATTCAGAGAGAGCAATGAATATATCTGCTTGCTTCCTGTGAACAACCTTGCTTGGATTTAGTTTTGTTTGTGGAAAGCCACTGTGTTTTCTTTCCGAACCTTCTTGCCAGTGATGTTATCTGGCCATCTCTTTTCTTATTGACATGATTTAATCCAGCCTGGGAAAATAATGTCTTTAATTTTTACTAATGGAGCAATTTCATAAAGTCTATATTGTGATCTTTAGTATACCAAAGCATACTGAATGAGTTAAGAATAAGTATTAGATCTACACGGGCTGCCTGGCTATTACAGCAGCACAAACCATGTATTTTTTTCAGTCTGCTTGTATATTTAATTTTGACAGAAAGCACAGTTTACTTCTCACAGTCAGCATGACTCTCTTACCTTTTTATGTTGATATTACTGTTTTCTTCCCCCTCCCCCCCCTCTCTATTTCAGTTTCCTTTCTTCTGGGGATATTGCCTGCATGGCAATCTGTTCCAGCACTTACTCAACCGTCATGGCATTTTGCTTCCTGGAAGAGCTTCAGTGGGAATTTGCTGCTTCCTATGATATAACAAGCATCGGTTTAGCTTCCAGACCATATGCTTTTCTTGAATTTGGTTTGTAACTTTGTTCTCTAATAGAGAATTAATTAATTGTGTGTCTGCTACTTTTATGATGTTAAACAATGTCTCCTGGCCAAAGCCTGATTGTGAAAATGAATCTGTGTGTGTGCCTTTGCATGCATGTGTAGGAGGAGTAGGGAGAACTTGTATTTGTCTTAAACTGTTAGACTGTTGGGTTTGCAGTTCCTTAGAGTGCCTTTAATAGATGAACAAAATGCTGTGGTGATTAATAAACAAGCACAGGAAGATAAAGAAATCCATATCTCAAACACATTCTAACTTAATTAAAAATATCTGACAAGTGGAGACAGATGGGTACAGGAAAAAAGGGAGACAGAGTCGATTATTATGGGCAGCTTTACTTCTGGAATGACTTAAATTCACATAATACTTCATAATCATGCGTAGTGTTCTTTTTTTAACCTGAAATAAATGGTTTTCTTGCCAAGGAGCAGCTGCTCTACTGTACCTCGTACCTTTGAGAAGCACAATTCACTTGCAGTGAGAAACTCTTTCCTGGGAAGGGATGAGACAGTGCAGTAGTTAGCACACTTCTGTCCAGATTTCAGCAATAGTGTTAATCTCATGCTTAAAAGATTGAGAAATTCACAAGGAAAGCATATGATACATACAGCCATCTTGGATGGATTTCCCTTCAGGGCACATTCTAGGCATGATGTAATTCTATGCTAAGATCCAAATTACTGTCTTTATATATAGATAATTTTTTTTTTTAAACTTGAATAGGAATTTGGGAATGTCTAGCCTCTTTTAATTGCATAAAGCTCTTTTTAAAGGAAAAAATAAAAGCTGTTTTTCTTCATTTCTATTATTGTACAGCGTTTTGTACTGAGTCTACCTAATATTGCTGTGTGATTCCCAGCCCTCCTCTCCTTTCCTCACCTTCCTCCCTTCCCCATCCCTTTTCTGTGTTTGGATCTAAGATGCACTTGATACCTAAGATCTTAGCCTTTTGCCTGGTAGTTGCAGATGATTTTAGCAGGCTCACTTAAGATAAAATACAGGATTTTTTGCTAAGGGATGCTTATGGCACTGTGTATTCAACACAGAAGTCTTCCTGCTTAAGGAACTTGTGCTTAAGCTATTACATGTGTATTGTATCCAGTAGTAGCTGAGGTCAACATATGCAAATCTAGCATCACAGTATCTTAAGGATATGGATTTTACTTAGAGGATATTTTAGGAAAATAAATGGGTTTGCATTTTATTTTTCTAAGCATTTGAAATACCTTGAATTTGCCAATATCTTTGCACAATTCAATAGTAAGTATCCACAGTGAGGTACTGGAGGTGTGAGCAGTAAGTACTCGGAAAAATTCTCTACTCGGTGTAACTCCTGTCAGGCCAGCAGCCACCTTTGTGGAAAGGGATTTGCTTGCAAATGGTATTAAATTTGAAGTGTGAGAGATGAAGCAGGCTGATCTGTACATAGATATGTCACTTGGATGTTGGTAGAATCACTGTAGAATTGGCTCTGCCAGTCAGAGTTGCTTCATGACTCAAGTATAAGATGACTTAATTTATCTCTGTGCTTGGAAAAAAACTGTAATCCTTCATGTTGTTAAAACACAATGTGGAATTGCTTCTCATGGTAGTTCATGAGTAGTTTAAGATGTGTTAACATCTAGTCTGGAATATGAAAGCTTGTTTTCAATCCACAGTAGGCAGGATGTTGAGATTTAAAGTATCCAGAAGGGAGTGGGTGTGATATAAAATACCTAGGAGAAATATTTTTCTCCCTAACCAGCATTGGAATTTTACACCTGAAACTAGTAAGAAAAAAATGAAGAAGTGAAAAACAAGTAAAAAGAGTGCTGTGATTTGATTAATAATTACCTGAAGCACTTAACATTTGCAAAGCTAATTGAAGCATGTTTTTATATTGTTTCAGATAACATTATTCAGAAAATGAAATGCCGTTTTAACAGTGCAAATCGCTCTCAAATGAAGGACAACTGGGAGAAGATTGAGAAGGAGCTGAAGTTCCAGCCCCCGGTTCAGCTGAAGCTAGAGGATACGGAGCTGATGAATGGGATGGCTAATGGTGGGCATGCAGGCGTTCATGTGGAGGTTGGTAAGTTACTACTATGCACAGGTGATAGTAGACTTCCTGAACCTAATTTTGCAAACAACAGAAAAACCTGTAACAGCAGCAGTTCCCTTTGTTGTGAGAAATATACATACCATGTGCATGAAACCCAAGAAAAAAACCTGACTGCCTTTCTATCATAGTTAACTACATTATAGCAGGTATGCATCAGAGCCTTTAAGGACTCATGGTAGTAGCTTTCTTTCCAGCCTTAGAACAGCTTCTCTGTGTGAACAGTTGGTTGTAACTAGAGTTGGCATTCTACATGTTAAATTCTCCAGCTTCTAAAGTAGTTCTTTGTTAAGTTTTCTATGACAAAAGAAGCTCAACAAATTCATTGCTTGTTGCAAATTCTAATAGAAGATACGTAATTACAGTCTGACTGAGTTGCTTCAGCCTTGAGGAACAAAAAGTTGAGAGGAATAGAATCATAGAATAGAATATGAGCAGAGGGTAAAACTCTTATTCCCAGACTTTCCATGTTGGGTTATTCTGCCTGCTTTGCTTTCTCCTTTTACCTTATTCTTTAAAATATAACGCATTCGACTAAAATTCTGAAGGAGGGTATGTATATCTGTATAAACAACACATAGAGGCTTGTAATGAAGTCTGACATGACTTTGAGCAACCTGGTCTCATGGGAGGTGTCCCTGCCCGTGGCAGGGAGGTTGGAACTACATGAGCTTCCAATCCAAACCATTCTGTGATTCTACCTGCTTTTAGAAGTACTAACCTCTACTTATTTATTGTAATATTGGTATCTTCTTACTTGTTTTTCAGTTGCATACTCAAAATCCTGACTGCTTCCTCTACAAAATGAAATCATAGAATCATTTAGATTGGAAAAGACCTTTAAGATTAAGTCCAACTGTGAACCTAACACTGCCAAGTCTACCACTAAATCATGTCTCAGTTTTAATCGTATTAGCATGGTGGTTTAAATGCAGCTGGAGAGCCATGAGCTTGTATCTACTCTTTCTGTGGTGTTCTTGGCTTATGCAACCCTAATAAAATGAAGTTCCCATTGCTCAGTCTTCTTGTTTCTGATGGATGAGCTGGACACTTTACGTATGTATTTTAAGTTTAAATATAGAGGGGCAGTGGCCAGGAGGAAAAGAAAATAGAATTGAAAGCATTTTATTTGCCAGTCAGTTTTGTGAGTGCTCCTTAGAACTCAAAGGTTAAATATTTCCTTGATGTGACAGTGTTTAGAAGTTTTTTGCACTAGTGTGAACAGTTTTAGTGCCAGTAAACATTTGCAACCTAGTCTGTATCCACAGATCAGAAATACATTTTCAGTTCCCCCATATTCTTAATTGCTTTCTTTTACTTTCCATCTGGCTTTGTATTTCTGGCTGTTCTCTCTGGTCTAACGCAAATACTCACACAGATTGTTCTGCCTTCATTTTAAGGATCATGTTTATGATCATCTGCTTCCCTCGGATGAAGTCTGCTTTCCTGGCTTGTGTCTCTCTCCTCTCCTCATTACCCCTTTGCTGCTCGAAGTTTAGCTATGTGGATAGTGTTTATTCCCATATTAATGTTATTTATGTTACGGCTTTTCTATACAGGAGATTTCATGAGCTTATGTTGGAAGTGTTACAGTTGCAGGAGAGCAGAATTTAATTGTGTCCACATTCTATAGTGAGGATAGGTTAATCAGTGGATTGATCAAAACGTCAGTCTCCTTACATGGTTGTAGCTGGTTCTTGTCCTATTTTGAGATGTGTGATCACATTCCCTGGCTCTTCATTTTAGTGTGAAAGGAGCCTGAAAAGTCAGGGTAGTTTTGTCCTTGTTAGTATATATGGGAACAAGAGCTTTATTTTTTCTTTTTTTACTCTTCCTTTGTTTAACTAAACCCAGCCGAATTCTTGCTAGAACAATGTTAGCACTGTATCCTTGATCCACATCTACACAACCTCAGCTGCTGTTGCAGAAGCCTCACCTTGTTTCTCGACACAGCTGGTAAAACTCCTGGATATAGTGAGGTCTGTATACAGAAGAAGTTTGAAGTAGCTTCTGTGAAGAGGGGGAGTTTTCACATCAGAATTGGCTCTGTGAAGTAGAACAACTTGTGCTATTTGTCTAGGAAGCATGCTGTTAAATTATGGAGCATTATGCTTCCCTTGATGAGTGTTTAGTCTTCTGTAGGCACTCAGGGAGCCCTTCACAGGGTCCTTTTTAAGGTATGTTTTGAAGATGTCTTGCATCTCTCTTTTGTGTGCGTGTACTTTACTTTAAAATGTTTGATTCTGATTTCATTTTTCCCTCCTGGTGCTGTCTTTATCTGGAGCTTTGAGTATGTGACTCATTGTCAAACCCTTGTGCTATGCCTTGAAGAGACAGGATGGAGCGTGGTACTGGCATTTGTGTCAGTCTTGGGTTAAATAGCCAGAGGCCTCTGCTCAGAAAATCTTTTCTAGTGAGAGGTTTCAATTTCTTCATTGTGTGAGGGTGTTTTCACAGAATTGTTCTTTAGATGTTCAAACCTGCAGATGCATTTTTCCTGAGTGCTAAGTAATTCACAGTCCCCAGAACTCTTCGATATGGTTCTTGTATCCTGAAGTACCCAACTTCTCTACTTCGGAGTTGTATCAGTTTGAAACCCAAGTTAGCATTTAATTGTGCTTCTGCAAAGTTATCCTGTCTTAAACTAAGAGTGCTTGTACTCTCTTGCTCCCTTATTTAATGTAGTAAGGAATTTTAGGATGAAATTCTGTTTATAAAAATGATTGAATTCACACAAACAACTGTAATAATTTTTCCTTATCAGTACCTATCTCGCTTGTACTGTGCAATTTCAGTTTGTGAATTAAACCTCAGAATGATATATCAGAAATAAAGCTCCACAGCAAACAATTTAGAGATCAGTTTTCACAGAATCTGAACCCTGAGCAACTGGATGTTGTAATCTCCCCTGCATCTGTGATAGTAATTCTTTTTATCTGGACAACAGGGAGGGGGGGAAAAGTAACTTTTACATAATATTCTGTGCTGCAGAAGCAATATATTGAGACTTGCACTGTTTTTCCCTGGACAATGGAAACTCTTGACATGTATGGTTTTCAAGATACAATGAATGACACTTGCACTTGATAATTTTTCTTTGTTTGAGAGACACTGTGTGCCTCTGAAGTAAACCTTTGAAACCAGGGAAGAAGAAACAGCAGTCTTTATAAGTAAGTTTCCATGAGAGAGAGATACATAGCTGCAACATTACTTTATTTATCAAAAATAATTGGGAACTTCATACTCAAATGAACAAACATGCTGGTGCAGCTTCTGTCCAGTGTACTGTTTAGACCTTAGATTTCACTGCATGGGCAAAAAAGCAAAATTGCCTTTGAATGATAGGGTTACTTGCACCATTTATATACACGAACATGTGTATTACTATAATATACAGTAATGCTTCATAATGTGACATGTATCAAATGGAGTTAATACAGTTCCTTTTGCAGCTGCTTTGGACAAGAAATTATGGATATATGAATGCATGCCAGACAAGTTAATTGCATCAACACTTAATAAAAGATACTTTATGTCCCTGTATTAATTTGGCAACAAACTTTTTTTACATCCATCTATCAAAACCTCTCTTGAAGGAGAAGACACGAAGTGTTTTCCTGTCTTAAACCATGCAGTACTGCAATATTTAAGCTGTTACTGTGCTTCATCTGTCACTGAAACAAAGTCAGAGACCACGTCTGCTGTGTTTCATAGTCTGTCTGCAGTAGTCAGGAGCTGGCTACATCTGGGCAGGAGGCTGGGGGTCCTGAGAGATGGGGAGTCTTGAGGGCTCATTCATTCTCTCTTGCATCTTATGGATGCAGGAGAGGATCTGGATTTCATATCTGAGATGCAAATTACCTTCCTGTTTATTATGCTGACAGTGTTCTACTTGTGATGATCCAAGGGCAGGGATGAAATGCAGGTGAGTATCTAGGTGTGGTGTCTGTTGTTGGGTTAGCTAGCACAGCTAGGGAAGAAAATAAGTGAGATTTGTACAACCAAAACTGAATTAGAAGTGGCAGGATCCAAAGTTAAATACACATTTATAATAATTGCTTTGACCTTAATTAGGTGTAGGTATCAATTAGATGATCCTGAAGAAATGATATCTGGGGGTGTGGGTGTTATGCAGTAGTAGTGGAGAAGGTGGGAAGGGAAGAGGATATATTCACTAGCTGTGAAAGATGGAGAAGGGAATTGTAATGCACTGTAAAATGTGGCTCAAAGACCAAAAACTGTAGAATCCAGTTTAATTCCTAGACCTAGTTTTCACAGAATCACAGAATGGCTTGGGTTAGAAGGGAACTTAAAGCTCATCTAGTTCCAACCCCCCTTAACCTGCTGGTCACATTTTGTTTTGACCATGTTTTGTCAGTCTGAAAGGCCCAAAAGTTCTGTGACAGACATTTCGCTGCTGTGATTAGGTAGTATCATCCTGCTGACTCCTACAACAGCTGTTCTAGCAGCAGAGCCTCAAAGTCCTTAGCTGTACAGCTGATTCCTGTCAACTGCTTGATTAGGGCACCAAATGCTGTGTGGAGGCTATGCAGGTAGAACTAAATTGCTGTATACCAGCCCGAAACCTCAAACTCTGTGGGAAGAAACATGTAATTACAGTTGAGGAAGGGATGAATTGCTGTCTTGCTTTTGTGGGTGTCAAAAATTTAAACCCTTTCGCAGACCAGTGCTTACAGCATCTAGTTCTTTTACTTACCTGTAAAGAGTGTTAGGTATGCTATTCTGCCGTAATAAATGGTGGAAAAATGTTTGTGTGCACCATAATAGAAGACATTAATGCCAAATAGCTAAAGAACAAATTCTATTGCTTAATCTCTCTAAAAAATACTCCAGAGCTTTGCTGATTTGTAGATGTCTGAAGAACTAAACAGCATATTGCAACAAAAAGGTTTTTCTAGTCATAATTGGTCTTCTCTGGAGCAAGCATGAAAGGTTTTGAAAATGTTCAAAGCCTGCGTGAGCTCATTTGGATTGTTTTATGTTAAAATATTAAAAGTAATAGTGCAAACTTTCACTAATGTCTCTCTTTTTTTTCTGCTTGATTTTTTTTTTTTTTTTTTTTTTTTAAAGTGCCTACTTACAGAATGCAGCGTGTGACTCCCCTGGGGATTCTGTCACTTGTTCTGAACATCATGTGTGGAGCTTTGAATCTCATTCGAGGAGTTCACCTAGCAGAGAATTCATCTCAGGTAACCCTGCTGGAGTTGAAACCTGCACATGAGTCAGAGGGAGTGAGTTATTCGGGTAGCCAGATTAAGGGTGGTTCTTCTGCTGCTTGGTAGAGCATACATCTTCTCACAAGAAGTGTGTTGTTTGTCCAGGGAATACACAACTGATTGCTCACCTGCTAGACCTTGTGTTTATTGCAACACATGGCATTTCATTCTTTTCTAGGGAGATTAAAGTTTGGAGGAATATTTAAGTCTTGCCAGGCTGGCTGCATTTTTTTTTTTATTCTTGTATTTTGTTCTAGATGCTTTTGTGTAATTTTTTTTAAGCATATGTGAAAATGTAAACAACTTTTAAAAAGTAGAAAAAAAGAGTGTCCTGATTGTATGGTGGCACAGTTTTATTTAGCAGGAATTATAATTTGAGCCTCAGTTCTTGGTATCGAATTCGATGATATTGATCTTGCTGTTTAACACTGTTACAGTCAATCAACATAAACCAGAATGAGAGGTACTTGATGAAATACAGCATTTTAAAATATCAAGCAGTACTTGCTAAAAGCTATACCTGACATAGTTGTTTGTCACTTCTTTTAATCTAAACAGGAGGACCATGAAGGAATTGGAAATGTGATAGCTTTTTTTCTACCTTTTCTAGCCTGTGTGTTTCAGGTATGTTAACTGTAAATAAAATGCTTTTGTATTATTTTAATATTATGATATACAAGACAAAATAGTTTTCAGATAGGCAGAGGAACAGTTTGGGATTTAGTATCCTACCTAGGTGATTCCACTGAGGTGTTCCAGTGAAGTGGCACAAGTACAATTAAAGGCACAATTTGACCCTTGGCTAACTGTAGTTGCAAGCCTTTTCAGTGCTTTCATGTTTTGACATGCCAAATGGTCTGACTGTAATAAATAAGCTCTTTACCGTGACGATGGTGAGGACCTGGCACGGGTTGCCCAGAGAAGCTGTGGCTGCCCCATCCCTGGCAGTATTCAAGGCCGGGTTGCACGGGGCTTGGAGCAACCTGGTCTAGTGGAAGGTGTCCCTGCCCATGGTAGTGGGGTTGGAACCGGATGACCTTTAAGGTCCCTTCCAACCCAAACCGTTCTGTGATTGTATGATTATTTTCTCTGACCTCCTTATGCAAAAAAAAAAATTTGAATGAGGAAATCTTACCTGCTTCAGATGGGCTCTTCTTGAGATTCCTTAAAATGCCTAAAATGTGGTCTGCAACCTTTACCTTGAGAGCAATATGTTCTTTGGAAAATCATCAATTTTTAGCCTGCCACTTCAGGAAGCTGCTGCATTTGGGTTATTGTTTCACAGACGGAGTAACGTAATGCCTACAGTGTATTCATTGCTTAGTACTATTGCATTTGGTTAATGGTTAGGGGAGCGCTGTCTGAAGATTTACTTATCTGTGGTATTTAAAACTTGCACAGTGGCTATTTATTGAATCATAATAGATACATTTTATTGTCTTTCAGCCTTCTTACACCTCTGCTTATGGCAGAGCTTTAAGATGGAGATAATAATTTGGATCTGAATACTTGATGCAAGTCATTCTTCACAAAGAAAGGCTCTGACCTGCTTTTTTTTTTTTTTTCCAGTTAGTATCTGAAGCTAGAGAAGCTAAATAGAATTCTCTCTTATCCTTTTGATCTATAGCAGTCATCTTTGCCAAATGCTTGTGCATAAATTCAGCTTAAATGTGATAGTGCTTTCTGCATGCTGATCTCTACTTGTGTCATCAGCACAGCTGGAAACTGTGACCTTAAGTGAGAAAGCATGATTTATTACTGCCCGAGTTAAAAAAGTAACTCTTCTGCCAGCACTGAGTTTCCAGTTTTCTCCTGTAAGGGTTGTTGCTCTTCACACATGTGTAGCAAATGGGTTCCACCTGATCTTGAATTTAAAAAGAGAAAGAACTCAAAGCCCTAGCTGAACCTGTTAACAGAAACTGAGTCAAGTCTAGAGAATGAAGCCCTCATCCCAAAAACCAGTATGACAGAAGCAGATTTGGGTTTGCTGTTTCTGGCTTCTAAGCCTTTGTCTTTTAAAAAATTGCAGGTTGTTTTTAAAAGCTGGTTCAGCTTTCAGACTCAGTCCCGGCTGAGACAGGCAGGAGGGACACCAGTTGTGCTGACAGACCTTTTTTGTTATCTGTGTTTAGGTGGTAGGTCTGGGTTGAGGCTGCCACTCTACTTGTTCTTGGAGGACCTTTCAGCACAGGAGTTGAAGGGAAGTTTTGGGCTTCTTAGTGATCACTGTGCTGGCAGGCACATCCAAGAGGTGTGGACGTGCCAGCAATTCCCAGCTATGTATTCCATCTATATGTACATAGTTTCATAGAATCATAGAATACCAGGTTGGAAGGGACCACAGAGATTGTCTGGTCCAACCTTTCTAGGCAAAGCAGACCTAGACTAGATGGCCGAGCACTCTGTCCAGCTAAATCTTAAGTATCTGATGCTGGGGAGTCCATCATGTCCCTGGGGAGATTATTGCAGTAGCTGATGGTTCTGACCATCAAGAATTTTCCTTGCATCCAATCAGAATGTCCCCAGGAGTAACTTGTGCCCATTACCCCTTGTCTTTTCCATGTGAAAGTGTTTAATGCTAATAGTGTCTCTCTGGTGCTTTTGCAGTGTTACTTATACCTCTTCTACAGCTCGGCAAGGAAGGTGAAGACATTTGTACTCCTTTTCTCTGTTTGTTTATGCAACATTTACTTGTATGGATTACGGAACCTCTGGCAAATAGCCTTTCACATAGGAGTGGCATCTCTTTCTTCTTATCAGATATTGACAAGACAACTTATGGAGAAACAGCCTGACTGTGGAGTATGAAAAAGCTTCGGGTTTGCTACTCTATTTTTACAACTTTTTCTTCCTTTTTTTTTTTTTTTTTTTTTTTTTTTTTTTAATAAACTGGCCAAAAATTGCTTGGGGTATTTTTAAAGATTTGTGATGATGGTTATTGCAAGGAGGATATTTCAAAGCAACTTGAACTAAAGTAGGATACTGTAATCGTGTCAAACATACAGTGTGGAATCTACCTGTATTTAACATGGCATGTGGTAGTTGTGCATGGTAGGTCTTGTCAGGTGCCATCAACAGATGGAGGTTCTCCTTGCCATAGACAGGCTTTTACTCCTTGACTAATACCATCTAGACAGCATTTTGCCATTTGTCTTACTGGCTTCGTAACAGTTTGGCAGGTCAATGTCTTGCCCTGCCAATGCTTCTGAAAATATTAAACTTGTATAATGAAATGAAGTGGTGGGTAACATTTTTGTCTGTAGAATTTGTTAAGCATTAAGATACTTGGTAAATATAAGTAAAGGAGTAGTTTGCCCTAATTAGATGAGTTCAATAGCAGTGGGAAAAATTGTTAGGATGAGCTTCAGGGTAATTTTTCTAGGTTTTGAAGGAAAGGAAGACGCTGTGGGTCTTTTAAAAACCATAAAGGCTATAAATATCTCCTGGCTAAACAGTGCATCTTAGTTAAGTATGTGCTCATTGGTTAATTGCAAATATGCTTGGGGCAGCATAAAATAAACCGAAGTGAATATAAATGATCTTTCAGCTCAAGCGGCCTTTATTTCCTTGGTTAAGGTCACTCTTAGCATAAGGGTAATTCCATGTTTGCTTGGTCTGTACAGATAATAAATCTCCCAAGCACACTTACGACAGGCTACTGACTCCTTCACCTTTTTAATTAAAAAAAAAATAAAAATAAAAAGTGTAGCTGGTGGGTAGAAAGCCATTACCAATAATGGAAAGCAAGAGCAGGTTCTCTTTGTTAAATGAAACACCTTTAGTTAATGGTGTTGAGTTCTTACACTATGATGAATTTATGAGTTTGCACTTTTGAATGCAAGAGCTGAATAACATCTGCTGCACTGGGTATTCTTGTATGTGATGTATTGAGGTGCATAGCAGCAGTTTAGAACATACATGAATAATATAAGTTCTCTGTTTAAAAAAATGCATACCATTTTGATACAGCTGTCTTTGAAGGGTTGTAAACATTCAAACTGAGAAGATGTAGAGAACTCTTTGGTGTGTTATTGTGGCAGTATCTTCCTAGATTTCCTTTTATGTTAGGAAACTGTTTTCTGGTCGCCCCATTTCTTCCACCAGAGATGTCACCAAAGATTTATTTTCCTCTCGCATAGTCTCTACCTCTAGTGGTTGCAAAGTGATTAACACGATGCAGAGTTGTCTTCCTGAGTTTGCAGAAGCGCTTAACAAAAGTACTTTCTTGCATCTCAGTGAATTTTCCTGAAATCTCAGGATTTCAGGAATGATGCAAAGACGAGTATCAGTGTGCTGCTGCACCAGAAACCTGTGGTGCACGAGTTTGGATTACAAGTTGAAAAAAAAACCAAACCAAACCAAACAACTCTGGAAAAAGGACAGCCCCAAAAAGATGCTACTAGTAATTTAGCACTTTGTTAAAGATACTGGATCTGATGACTGATTGTGTTTTCCAGGAGCATAAGCTGGGTATCAGCCCATTGGGTTACCATGAGGAATCATCCTGTGGGAAAGGATGAAGCATTTTATACTGCAGATAGACAAAACTTTATGAAAAGACCTTAGTGATATGACCCAACTCCCTACTCCTACCTTTTTAGCCTCAATCTGGCTAAAATGTCCAGAAGAACATTACTGTTCCTCTGAAGGCTTGGATAGAGCTCGCCTGCTATAGCTTAAGGTAAGCAGAGCATTTTTAACTGTTAGGCCAATGAACTATTATCTGCTTTCTATTCCTCATACTTGTATTGAGCTGATTGGAAAAGAATGTAGTGTTCCAGTACTTCCCCAGCATCTGTTTGATTTATCATAAACCAAATACATCCTTATGCCAGGTGATGTTAGCAACAGCTCTGCAATAAGAGTGGTAGAACAAAGTGTTTAGATTGCTTGTGTATTTAACGTAGAGCAGATAAATTCAGGTTTTGTTTACTGTTTTCTTTTTCCTGAAAATTATTTCGATAAGATCAGACAAAAGCAGTTGGTTCAGTTCTGCCTTTGTGTACTTGTTTTTCGCTTTGTGGATTAGATGGATGATGTAACTAGATTTTTATTGTTTATTTTTCTACTAAATGAACTAAGCTCTGGTTTGCTGTTAGTCTTAATCCCTTTGCAACCTCCACTTTGTTTGTTTGCTTGTTTTCCTGTATTATGTCTAAACCGTATTAAGGAATCTACGTGGATTAATATGTGTGTGTTCGTGCACTTTGTGGGTTTGGGTTGCGATTCCAGGATGAGGCAGAACATGCACAGTTTGACCTATTTTTATTTTTTTATTTTAATATTAGTATTTAGAGTGGCTCCTACATGTCTGTGGTATTTATATAGTTAAACATTTTCTTCTGGTGAAACAGCACGAGGAGCAGAAGAGTTTACATTGATCTCAGTGCTTTAAGATTTAATAAAAAAAGAATGACTTGCAGTTTGAGTACATTAAATCTGACTCAATTTGGGATTATGCCTGTATTGAATCAAATCCCCAAACAGGAATCCATCCCTTTTTGTTCAACTTTAAACTGTTTAATGTTGTTTTAATTGCATCTTCTTAATTCTGTCAGTTTTCAAGATAAGTCTTTTGGAAACTTTTCCTCACCCAGCAGCTCAGCACAAGAACATTGGCAAAGAATAAACTTTCTTAATTTAAAGATTTGCAGTGCTTAGTCACTTTATGAAGCTGATAATTTTCTGTGGGATTTTTTTTTTTTCTTTCTTTTTTCTTTCTCCCAAAGACCTGTTAAGTTTGTAGAAGGTGGGCTGGTACCTTTTTAGACATTTTTGCACTGTATTAATAGCTGAACCTGTGTAAATGTGTATAAAATCATTTTGCATGTATATGTATATATGTACATATACCTAATAAATGGCTTTTTTGTAATGGTTGTCTTCACTTACAGTTTTGAAATAAGTGATTATATTAGAAACAATGTTGAATGGCTGTTTCATTTTTGTGTGCATCTTTAGTGTTTCATGTGGCAGTGTTCAAAATATTTTAAAAATAAGCTCAGTTCTTCTCTTTAACAAAGAGCTTCAAAATCAGAGTGATTTTAAATGCTTTCAAAGTGCATCCTGTATGTGGTCTCTTACAGAAGGAGGTATCTGTTGGAACTCAGGGTGTCTTTCTTTGAGGCAGTGCACTGATACCTGTTAGTTAGGATTTTTATTCAGCCATCTGCAGACTGAAAAGTGACTGATCCATCAGATGAACTATATAAACATATTTATGTCTATAGAAATTGCTTATCCAGGCAACAGATTGGAGTGTGCTGTGATAGAATCTCTTTGTAGCTTTAACAGTCTTGCTTTTAACTTTCAGACACCATGTTACAGAGGCTTTTCCTGAAAAACTTGCATTTTGAAGTGTGTGAAGTAAGCTGTAACACAGTTCTGTAGATCCTTTTCCAGCTGCCTGGCAATGAGTAGTGGGGATTTTGCAGATTGATGTTAGATTTTTAGCTTAGTCTCTTAATGGAACTAGGCCTATTAGTTAGTGCAACCAGTCAGTTCCTACTAAGAGTTTGTGGACTCTTTTTTGGCCAATTTCATCCTCCTTTGACAATTGCTCTGAAGACGGCAATTCATCAGGATTTATAGAAATGAATGGACTGATGTGGCAGAACATTCCGCTTTCCCACCATCTGAGTTTAATAGGTTCAGGTGTCAGGAGATGCACTTGGGAGAGCAATGCTTTGAACAGCAGCACTCATAGAGGACCCTGCCTAATCAGGGACCAAAGAGTTGGCTAAAAATCAAAAAGCCAGAAGAAACCAGGCTTGTGGAACTACTGCTCCCTGGTCCTCCGCAAGAATGATCAGCAGTAAAAGCAAAACATGGTGCGTAAAGGGCTGTGTTCCTCCACTGATTTCCAATGTGTAAAAAGTGAAATCTTTTCTAATCTGAGGCTTATTCTTTATCAAGGAAGGCAGTTGTGGGTAAAATGGATCTGGGAGAACTGCCAATCCTTTAGTTTGCTTTAAAGATCTATCCCACTCTTTGCCTTGACTTGGCCTTTTAGCCTTGGAGCTTGCTGGGCTGCAGGCTTGCGGCACGGAAATGTCAGTAATAGATTTGAGATACAGTGCTGCAGCACTCACTGCTGCACTCAGAGGAGACAGAGGAGCCTCTGTGTGCCCCTGTAATGAGGCAAGAGGCAGAGCAATGGGTTGTGCAGACAGTAGGTGGTAATAAGCAAAAGCTGATGGCAGGGGAGGAAGGAGAGTGTCTTATTCTTCCAAACTGCTCTGCCCTTTGAAATCTAGATGTTATTTTTGTTCTGTAAATAAATGATTGCTCAAAGCGTGTTTCTTCACAAGATGCTGATAGAGGAGAACAGCAGCCTTTCCCTTTTTTTTTTTTTTTTTCCCTAAGGTGAGGAGAGAAAGCAATTATAACTCCCTTTCCCTTTTGAAGATGCTGATAAAAGGAGGTGGGAGGATCAGAGGGTCCCTGTGCCAAAAGAGGAACAACTCCTAAGGTGATAGAAATACATCTTTTTATTTTGAACAAAGTAACTTCTGCAGTGTGCTGACTTTCAAATGTGACCTAATTGCATGTGAAAACTGTTTGTGGGGGAGGAAGGAAACAGTCACCTCAAGAAAAAGAGCAACTCCATCTTCAAACGTGTTACCTCCTCATGATTCTCAGTTCTTGTGTCCAAAGCCACTCTTGGGGCAAGCTCAAAAACAGGCAGGCAGGAGGAGGGGACAGTTGAACAGTCTCGTCCCAGTGGTGTTTGCTTTTAAGAGCTGATCTTAGCCTCATGTCTTAACCCTAGTAGTGAGGTGCCTCTGCTGAGGATGCAGGCTGAAGGG